TTCTTTCCATTGCTCGCTGCGTCATCCTCAATTTAAGCTGAACCCTCTTTGTAAGTCTCCAGGTTTAAGCTCCGTAGCTAAGTACCGGCAAGAGACAGCTGTTATATACCTTCCTCTTGAAGGATAGTGGCAATCTACCTGTCATAATTTGAGAGCGCTTGCCAAATGTGCACCACCCCATTCTTATTCTTCTAGTTACTTTAATCTCGTGGTTCGGCTCCGCGGTTATTACTTGCCCTAAGTAGACAGTCTTTTACAACTTGAAGTGCACTATTACCTATCTCGAAGCGCTGCTCTTTTCCGAGCTTGTTGTACATTACTTTCGTTTTCTGCAGATTAATTTTAAGACCCACCTTTCTGCTCTCCGTAATCATGAGTTGCAATTTGTCCCCTGAGTTACTCAGCAAATGCAATGTCATCGGCGAAGCCCAGGTTACTAAGGTACTCTCCATTAACTCTTATCCCTAACTGTTCCCATTCAAGACTTCTAAATCAGTGGTTCTCAAATGGCTGTCTGCGGAGCCATTTCTATGATCCCCGAAACCTTCACCTGCTTTTTCTTTTTTTTTAATGTCGCGCTTAAATTTAAGCAGGACTGTGCCATGTATTCATGAACAGTCCAAAATGAAGTGATGCGGCACGTTTGTTTGATGCTTTTGGTAGCAATAAAAGGCACCTGTTTCATGCTCCAGTTGTGTTAATTTACCTGCGTACACCCCCTTTCCTTCCCTCAGCTGCAAAGGGTCCCCCATCACTTCCACCAGTCCACAAAGGGTCCCCGACACACCCGTGGCCGAGAACCACTGTTCTAAGTGAAAAAACATTCTCTCAGCTAACTATAAATAACAGGCACAATAGAAAATAAAAGTTGACCTTTCTGACAAATTTATTTTTGGCGTGGCTAAGCACTGGTGTGTAGATACTTCAGTACATTCAATAAAACATGTTGGGGCTCTCAAGTTTCTGATCTAAATCCAGTGACACAAACCTATATCTGTATGGTAGAATTCGGACGTTTTTAAACATGGTGAAGCACTTGACATCATGATAATGAGTGAATTTAATTGGATGTAGAATCTCTCATTCATTTCGCATGAAACAGTCATTACTGAAAAGCGAGCTTATACTTTCTTTTTTTAGGCCGTAACCTACTAAGTAACCTACCAAGTGTTCGTAACACGCTTATTCCATTAATGTAAGCATCAGTTCTATCAAAACCAAATAACTGCAGTATGCATCCCACACGTTACAGACGCAAGTGAATCGGTGAGCCATTCAAATGAGCAGGTCCAGCTTGGTGAGCAGAGTTGTTCCGAGCTGCTCGCTAAAGTGAGTCACTTTGCCTATCTCTGCAGTCAGTTACACTTCAAGAAAGAAATGTAAGTCGCAGCACGCCTCCACTTCAGCAGGCAAATAGTCGTGCTAGTCGATTTCCACTTTGCCTCTAAATACATTTTTGCGGCTCATGTTACTACTCTCATTAGACAGTTATACTTTAGTGTTAGAGTGACAACGGGAGTTAGGATATTAGTGTTATCATGCCATAAACTGTCATTGCGAACAGTGCATTTTAGTTTAGCGGGATAGCGTTTATATGCCCCAGCTGGGACACTGGTGTTATCTAGCGGAGGGTGAATGCGTTAAAGTGAGGGAAAAAAGAAGAAAAAAAAATGAAAATACTTTTTGTGTCCTCACAAGGAGCAACCATATGGCTTTTTTAAGTAAATATTTACAAGTAACAGTGAGATTCAAATGTTTGCAGTTATAACATGGCAGCATAAAGCACAAGACCAGGCTGGTTGGCAGATCATGGGAGAGGCCTTTGCCCTGTAGTAGGCGTAGTGCGGCTAATGATAATAAGTAAAAAAACGTGACCTGGCACCAAAATAAAAAATTTCTATCTTGCAGATTTGTTTACACCGATCTTCTAGTTAGGCCCAAAGACGTCCGAAAAGAAAATCCATCTCAATAATCGTGCTAGGTTACTATAACACTCAATAGTCAAAACTACCTGAAGGCAAGCAAAGCAAATTGCCCATTCGTTTGCTACGAAAGAAGTGGATTCATTCACTCGAACGATAACTTCAGTTCAAAGCTGGCATTCAAAACTGCATGTTTTATGTACACTTTTTATATACACTATGTTAACCTCGCAAACTCTGTAAAAATCAGAAAAAATAGCCTGCGTACAGTAAATGCTACCGCTTGTTCCCCACAGTGAGCATGTGCACTTCGATCCCGCCATTCCGCTAAGCCCACTAAATTATAACTGTCTATTAAGGGAGATGCTACTCAATGACTTTTTTTTTAATATTCACCCTAGAGCAATGAAACTTGAGCTGTTTATGGTACTTTTTATGCTGAAATCAAATATATAATTATTTTTCTTGCAAGTTGCTTACTTTTAGCTCTGCGAAATGACAAAGTGAGAACCTTAACCCTTTTGCTCCCCCTCTTTTCATCCCTAAACTTCCATAATTTTTTACCATTCATAGTTCATAACATTTCAAATAAAGGGTAGAATACAAATAACTAATTAGGAAGCACATACAAAATATGTAATAGGTGTGAAAAATAATAGATGTATAAAAGTCCATATTTCACCCACCGTAGTAAAGGTTTACATACATATTTATTATAAAATAAAATATTGAAATTTAATCTAGATAATTGTATTTGTTATACTTTGGAAAAATTTGGGCAAAATTTCATGCAGATCCGAGCACTAGAAGTGCCAGAAAAAGGTGGGGCACATATTAAAAAATGGCGAAATTTGTGTTTTGAGAAAAATGAGTTTTAAAGTTGAAACTGAGTTTTTATTTATGAAAAATGTCTATAAATGCAATGAAATTTGCACATCAAAAAGAACAGTCCTTCTTGTAGTAGCCACTGCCACTAAAATACGCCAGCACCATGAGTTTGCCTTTCTCGGCTTTTTCGGGCCGACTTTTCACAAACATTTTGCTCACAGACAGCGCCATGAAACGCTTGTCAGACTTATTCAGCTCCATCTGGCAGAGCTTTGTGCCGACTGCAAGCTATAAAGGAGTTCAACAGGACGGCAAAATCTAAACTAAGTCTAGTGTTGAGGGATACAACAGTGCTGATGCCACTTTGCAGCCACGTTTGTGCCACATACCGTCGTACATAATGGTAATGTCGTCCACGCTAAGCTTCCTCACTGTGAGCTCCTTCGACCTCACAAGATTGGCACTGACATCATCCACTGCCGCATCACGAACTTTCCGGTTGATGGGTGTGAATGACTTTCGATGCATTTGCTTTTGCGAGCCTTGCAATCCAACAACTGCCGCAAATCGGACCAGCTGCTCGTAGCCTATTCCTACAGAGTGCGGCGCCACAAAGGCTTTCGCGCGTGAGCAATGGCTTTTTCAATTCCAACAGAGATAAATACATGAGAAAAGCATTGTTCAGCTGCACCGCTCAACAAGACACGGACCCCGCAAATAGGTTTCATAGCACATACAGGCGCGCAGAGGCCAATGACGGTCCTCAATCCGTACCACGTGATAAGCCAGTCGTGGCACTTAAAAAACGCGCAAAAGCATGCTTTTTTTACTATTTCTTGCACCGTATCAGCAAGGAAACTGTCGTTATTTCATGAGTGAAGCTCGACACTTCGCCTCATGCGATTGACAATGGCGAGCGGCGGCACATTATCGGCGGCAAGGTGCTCGAAGACTGCACACTTTGGCCTTTTAACAGACACCTTGTGCTCTTTAGACACAGTTTTAAAGCATTTCCAGTTAAGTCTCGACATGCATTTTTTTTTTTTTTTTTCAGAACAGTAGAGATACTAATCTTATCAAAACAGGCGAAAATAAAAAATCTAATTTTGAAGAAAACTCGCATTTTTCGACCCGCATCTCCCCTTAAGAGTTAAAAGATTCATTGTTACTTCCTAAAATACTTCATTTGGCTCAGTAGTGAAGTCAGAATCCCTGATGAACTTTACCAGCCCCCATCAAGAATGGGGGCACCTATTCGAATTCTCTGGACGGACAGCAATGATTATGAGTAGAGCAGACTTTTTTTGTTAGGTTATATCAAAGTATAGAGAAGCAGGACAATAATCATGCATAGCAGTACGATGCACATGGAATTTGGGGGAAGAGATGCCTGTACCTCCCGAACAAATAAGCACTGCTCACTAACAGCAGTGCCGCTGCTTATTGGAACAGCAGCTCTTTTATATGTGATCAAGAGTCTCATGTATTTACACACTTTTGGTATATATTTTATTCAATATTTGATATTTCTTGTTATTATTCAGCACCTTTACAATCCGAATTTGAGATTAAATTTAACTAGTTACTCATCCCTAGTTTTTGTATAAAAATGCAAGAAACGAAACAGTTTATATGAGATACATCCACTTCAGGCGCGAATTATGATGTGGCGTTCATAAATGTTTAAATTTCATAAAACATATTTCTAAGGCACTCTTTATTTAATTAAAAGAAGAAATAATAAGAAATACCTTTTTTGGTGACATTTGCTAATTAAACTTTGTTAGCATATATTTGAATACTTAATTATTTTGCAACCAGTCGTGTTCCATTTTTACAAGAAAAGAAGTTGACGTTAGGCCCAAAATGCACGCACAGTTTGTTTTGGGCTGTGTTCATTTGAGCAAAGAAAAATAATACTTATGAAGCCTGGAACGTGCAACAATGAGTTACCCATCAAACGTCGCAGTGTCTTCGTGGAAGTCATTAGCTGCAGTTATTTGTAGCCCATTGGGGTTAAGTCACGACGCGTTGACTATGCAGAAGATTAAATTGATCGTATGCACAATGTTTCTTGCTCTTTCTTTTCCACCAGTCCGAGGAAACGGCAAAAACAAGTGGAGTCCACATATATAGACGCTGCACCTCAAAGGGATATATATACCATGCACAAGGAATAGGTGCAGCAAATGCTACATCAGACATGTGCGTGCTCCAAGACACAATGAAAAAAAAAAAGGCGAAATGTACCTTCACAGTAGTTTTCTTGCATGTTTGCTCACTCACTCTTTCCAAAAGATGAATGAGGTTGGATTCTTGAAGCTGCAATAATGAAAATGCATTTAGTCCAGGACCATATTCTTCTGGCTTATTCATACCTATGCCAATTCTCAATGGTGTACAGAAACATACCAGAATTGCAAGGAAAATAAAGACAGAATATACCATGCACTTTTTATTCTGATAGAAATGATTATGCTCTGTAGTGCCTGGGTTTGTTTTCTTGCCTCCTTTCAAGCGTTTCTGCAGAAGAAGCCTCCCTTATAAGACCATTTTATTTGATGCTGCAAGTGATAATCATCACAACACATCCCAATGCCCTTTTACCAGCAGCCAGGGGCCGCAGCACATCCCTGGCAAGAGGTCTCTGGTTTGTAACCACCTACCCCCAAAGAATAATGCTGTTGCCCTTAATGGGTGCAAGTACCTATGCTGCAAAGTAATGACAGCAAAGTTGAACCTTGTGACATTGTTGCACTTTAGTAGTGGACACTTGGCTTGGAGAGACATCACCATCATCATCATCAGCTTGTCTACGTCCACTGCAGGACAACTGCCTTTCCCATGTTCCGCCAGTTATCCCAGTCCTGTGCTTGCTGCTGCCAATTTATACCCGCAAACTTATTAATCTCATCTGTCCACCAAACCTTCTGTCTCCCCCTAACCCGATTGCCTTCTCTGGGAATCCAGTTAGTTACCCTTAATGACCAGCGGTTATCCTGTCTACGCGCTACATGCCTGGCCCATGTCCATTTCCTCTTCTTGATTTCAACTATGATATCCTTAACCCCCGTTTGTCCCCTAATCCACTCTGCTCTCATCTTGTCTCTTAAGGTTACACCTACCATTTTCCTTTCCATTGCTCGCTGCGTCGTCCTCGATTTAAGCTGAACCCTCTTTGTAAGTCTTCAGGTTTCTGCTCCGTAGCTAAGTACCGACAAGATGCAGCTGTTATATACCTTCCTCTTGAGGGATAGTGGCAATTTACCTGTCACAATTTGAGAGTGCTTGCCAAATGTGCTCCACCCCATTCTTATTCTTTTAGTTACTTCAATCTCGTGGTTCGGCTCCGCGGTTATTACCTGCCCCAAGTAAACATAGTTTTTTACAACTTGAAGTGCACTATTACCCTTTCATTTTCAAGCCAGTCAACTGCAAGCGATCCCACTATAGTCGGGTACAACTTAAGAAGCCCCAAAAAGGCCCCATTCAGAGGACTAAAAAGGAGCCAATTGTCTCTAAGAAAGGCCAGTTCCCCCGACCATCAGGCTAATCACATCAGTATGCGGTGCACACCCAGTGGTGCAGGTTCGTATGCATCCATGTTTGAGGAGGAAATTCCGTGGATTTTGCAAGTTTAATCTGACTCAAACCACATGCACAATGCCACATGCACAAATGAACGCACCTAATAAATATGTGACAATCAAAATTTCTTACCTGTAAATAGATTCTGAAGTGAGACAATGACTTAATTTATATTGATAAACTGCGCTCTGAAGACTTTAATGTCAGAAATCTATCATATGTTCATTATTAGCAGAGAAAATCGCGCTTGAAGTTTCATTTTTAAATTTTATGCCTAAATCTTTGTGCATGACAACAATTTGAAGATGTATTTTTCTTATCTTCGCGAAATTTTCTGAAACTTCGTATGCTAGGTCAATGGCACCCACAGAGTAAAAAGTATTTCAATTTTATTGATTACAAGCTACGTAGGACCCCATAGATGCCTTAAAAATTATGACATCACAGTGTCGTGAGTGGGAATCTCGAGGTGGCGTCTCTACCTGCAAATACTTTTCGCACATTTCCTCGCTTATCAAGCATCATCTCGAGGTAAAAGTGGGGTTTTAGATTGTGAGATAGTACTTTACTAATGGGAAAAAACATTTTTGCTCTTTAGTGTCCCTTTAAGTGCAAGCTCTGATTGTTTGACACATTTCAAGGCATGCTTTGAAAGCAAACCACTAGGCGTTAAAAACCATGCAGTTTTAGAAGCTAGTATATTAGCCAGTTTTCTGCAATACAGTTGCCTCATTGGTAGTGGCTACCAGGCCACTGTGCGGTAACAAAAGAGAAAGCATAGTGCCAAATTTTGCAAAAGCAGTCACTTAATGCAACTTTAAATATTACTGCAGGGCACTAGTGGCCAGATGTGACATGGCATATTTTTGCACACAATTCCAACAAGCAAGGTATTTGTTCTAATGGCTAGTGTATATATTTGCTCCTACTTTCAATAATGTAAACAATGCAAAATTGTCCAAAGTATTCTTTCAGAGTACTTTATTATAACAAAGATGCCTTGGCAAAAATGTTCCACAGCACAACCAGCACACCTTTCAATTATCGTTACAGACTATTGTCGCTATAGATACTGGAAGGCATTTGCGTGGTGCCTTCCTAGAGCTTGACAGCAAATCGCGACCACCTAATCATTACGAAAATCCCACATCCGTCTATGAATACAGAAATAAACCACTTACTTTCAGTTTTCTAATAAGGCGATGCTTTGTTGCATTATTGGCAATGCCAATAATGCAACAAGTTTATAAGACATGTTCACAAAAGGTTTGCACCAGAATATACGGAATTAGCTGTAACCACGACAAATTTATCTGTGAACAAAGAAAAGTCATGCTCCAAATGTCCTTGTGGTAAAAGCAAAGCAAAAGCTTTTGTGTCGCTAATGTATGTTCGTGAAGTTTCCGGTGAAAAAATGAAAAACTGGCGCACCTTGCTTTGAATCTGTCCCATCTGGACCATTCTCACTATCATGTTTTCAACAAGGACTGCTTTCTCAGGCTTGGCCACGGCAATTGTATTCACTGCAAAAAAGAAAAAGAAAATGGAATCAAGTTATGGCACATGACAGAATGAATCAATTAAAATGTGACATCTTATATCTACTGTACTACATTCACTCATGTTTCATATATACATACAGGAATAATCACAAAGCACACTCAATAAGCAACCACACAATGGATGACACAGAGCAATTTACAGTGTCATACTAAAGTCAGCACAATTTTCTTACGATGAAATGGAGAGATCTGATCCAATGAAATTGAACGGTCCAAACTGATACAAAAAATACGAGATGCCCCAATTGCAGTAGTGACTTGGCAGCTATGGTGTTATGCTGCTGATAACGACAACACGGGTGCGATTATCCTGGCCACAGCGGCCACATTTCAAGGGGGATGAAATGCTGAAGTACCTTTGTATTCAAGTGCACTTTCAAGATTGACGAAAACTTGTCTGGTCAAAAATGCTCATCAATTGTAATAGGGCAATGGCCAAAGGTGAAAGATCGCCTACTGTTATTTAATTAGTTATCATGCCGTACAAGAGCTAAAACATCTGTTATTTCAAAGTTCTTTTTGGTCGGAGCCTTCATTTCAAGAACCCTATACACGGTGGTTTTACTATGTAAAACACAGAATTTAAATTAGAAATAAACTTTGGTAGAAAGTTTTGGATCAGTTTTTGCCACCTCAGTTTCTTTACTGTACACCCAAAGCTGGGTAAGCACAAGTTTTTGCATTGTAGCTCCCATCAGCATGTAGCAACAGAGATTCAGGATCAAACCTGCAACCAGAAACTTAGTCACAGTACAGTAAAGAACTAAGAACCTCAGAAGCATAATTTCATTTTAAGTTTCTCCCACAGTGCTGAATATTGTAATCTAGTATGTGAGATGTTTAATAAATAGGGCCCTTTGAACCAACAATATAGCTCAAATACAGGCTTTTACATAAATTGCTTTGCTTTCATGGAATATAATTTTTTAGGTATACTTGTTTTAAAGGGATACTAAACGAATACTGGAAAAACTGATAAAACTTCTAAGTTCTATTGGGAAGACGTGAGTGAAAACAAACGCACACACAAAGTGTACAACCAAGCCGTATCTGTTAGAACATATGTACGTATTATGTTTTTTTTTTTTTGGTACCACATCCACTGTCTTGCTGTCTGCCTTGTAAAGGGGGCCCAAATCCCCGTCAAGTGAACAGGGTTTCACTTTTTGTTCGGGCCTCCTCCATTTTTTTTTTTTTGTGCTTATGGCAAGAAAATGGAATAAAAGATGAATTGAATTGAATAAACAGAGTCCCATACTTTTCAACAGTTGGCTATATTTTATGATGGAATGTATGCTGCGGCAGCTGCACGCAAATGTGAGCTGTGACGTCACAATCGCCAATGCCCATGCAGGTTGAACGTGTTTTTCTCCTCTTCCTTTTATCTGCCTCTCTTTTCATCCCACTCTCCCCCTTCCACAAAAGCCAGGACTCAGCCAAAACTGTTGTTCGCTACCAGTGCTATTCATCTGGTACTGGGAACCGTAGGGGGAGATGAGTGAGTTGAGAGATGCAGGCGACGGCTGACATTGTTGGCTTGCCCGCTTTGGCCGTTTGCGACATCACCAAACGCCACATCCACTAGTTCACGGCGCGGCCGCTAAGTGCAGCAGTTTACTACAAACAACTGAATTCACTTTCTTGTAGCTTCTGCCTCGGATGAAGGTTGTCTCTATAGATTTCAGGACCAAATTTTTCGATTTGGTTGAAATTCTTGGTGCCAGAAATTTCGTTCAGTATTCCTTTGAAGGGCCTAGAGCGAGGTAACGGTTATGAAAATAAACAAGCACAGCGTATAAATCATGTGGTGGCAACGTGTCTGCCAAGTATGAAATGGCCATGTGCCGCAAAGATGGCCAAGACTTTATTTCAAACATGAAGTCACCTACCCTTCTCGAGAAAGAGCTGTACTTTAAGAAAGACAGGGTTCATGCTCGTTTACATGACAAAAATTAAAGGTTTATCAAGGACTTTCAAGGCTATGCAAGCAAATTTTCAAGGACCACACTGTCTGTTAGAAACCCAATTAACACTAGTTAAAAGAGGAATAAATGGTTGAAATAACTAGAAATCACCTAAAAATTGTAAGACCACTGAAGCAGACATCAAATACATGGCTCAAATGACATTTTCTGTCTTGACAACTTTCTATCATAGTTTTTTAAACTTGCATAGGTGATTACTTTCAGTATAACATAAGTTGAAAACTTTTATTCAGATAGAAAAAACTAAGTAACAGTTATTATGCAATGTCTTGTTGCTTTTTCTGAATTTTCATATCAATATCCACTATCTCCTGCTGCTTGGTCTTGGCAGTTATTTTAGGTTGTTTTGACTTGATGATGCACATCCAGTCGCTAATTGTCTCAGCCTTTTCTACATATAGGTTTGCTGTAGCTGTTGCAATTTTTTAACAGCAACTTCCAGTTTCCCTTTTTTTGTGAGCATTTCGACCTCCTCCTGTATGCAACATTTATTTTTCTGTTTTTCATCCTCTAGCTCCTGCCTTTTCTGGGTTTTTAGAAATGCACTGTGTTGGTTCTGTGCAGAAGCTACTGATGTTCTCAACTCTTTTGTGATGGGCACATTACATATGCCATCTGCTACATTTACGGCATCACAAATTATGTGCTGTGAAAAGTGCTACAAGGTTTATTAAAAAAAAGGTCATTCAAGGGTTTTCAAGAACCCACATGAACCCTAGAAAGAGTCAAAGAAACATTTTCAAATGCCTTAGCAAGAAGTTAAGTTGCTTGCTGCAATATCACTGATTATGGCATGTGACCAGTGGCGGATCCAGAGGGGAGACAGTAGGGGCAATTGGTGTCCCCCCCCCCCCCCCCCCCCGAGCTTGTCGGTACCCCCTACCCCTCTCTTCAGTACCTGCCGTCCACCTGCTATCACCAATTAGGACAAATGAGTGGGATCCCTTTGAACACACATTATTGGATTTATGCTATGATAGAGTTTTTGTGCTAGTAAAAAACAAAACAAAATAGAATGCCCACGCCCCTCTCTTCGGTGTTGCTTTAAGCAACCCCCCCCCCCCCCCCCCCCGTAAAATAAGTGGCTGGATCTTCCCTTGCATGTGACTCCAGCTGATTATCTAATGTGTAATCATCATTCAGTCACTGGAAATGTGCTAAGTAATATTTGGTCTCTCCACTCTGTTAAAGGTATTGTGGCAGGTAGGGAGCACTACCAACAGAAGCTTGTCGATGTAATTTCAATGTAGGTCAATAAAGGTCAGAATGCTATCCGAAATGACTTATAGAAAGTAAAAATTGAAGCTTAACAAAACTGAAAAAACTGAACAAATTTGGTGCATGTTTAGACAAAGTCGAGAAAAACTAAAGGAGGTAAGAGAAAAAGCCGGCACTACTGACAGTCTAAACGAACATGTCATAGGACTTCACAATACGATCATGAAACAACAAAATAAGCCGATTGCACTGGAGGACTGAAATCGTCGCGATAACTTGGTAGTCCTTGGAATTGCGGAGGAGGGTAATGAACCTAAAGAGCTTTTTCGGCCCATGGTGACTAGCAAGGTTTTCAGCGACAAACTTGGAATAAATTGCTTATCAGTAGCATAAATTCATCGACTTGTGAAATCCTCATCAAACCACCTGGTTACTCTTTACATTCAAGACTGACTATCTTGAGAAACGGAAGGTACTCCGAAAATCTGGAAAGTTAAACGGGACTAACACTTTTATCACGAATGATTACTCTTTGGAAACCCTAAAAAAAAGAAAACGAATAAAATACTATGAAACATGATGAATTGGGAAATAAAGAGTCATTCATAAGCGATAAGCTTCGTATTGATAATACTCTTTAAGTGTAAGATGATGCAACTTTCACACGTGTTTCAGAAGCAGCTACGTAACTACTGACAATATAGTCTAATCATAGCGATCACAGCCATCTGAAAGATTTTTGCGTGCCTTTTCTTTGAATGCCCAGAGCATTGTAAATAAAGTAGATAAACTTGAGACCTCGCTCCTTGCTTACTGCCTTCACTTTGTGGTTATGACGAAGACATCACCATAAGCGAGTTGTCATTTGTGCTCTGTGCAGATTACAGAGCACCTCATGCCGATTGTGATTTCTTCCCAGATTGTGTGATAACTTGCTGAAGTTATACAAACGTAATAACAGGATTTTAACCTGCCAACCATAAACTGCAATCGTTTGGCATAAGGTGAATATGCAAATACGAACGTAAATACAAATCCTATTCGTGATAAAAAGCTGGCTTTGAATGTTGCACGTATTCTACATGAATCTACTAGAGAGCAAGCACTTTTGAACATATTTTTGTCAGTGAATGTATTACTGCTATTGACAAGGGTACTTCATATAATAAAGTATTATTTTTCTTGTGGAAATATCCAAGGGATGCAAGATGCAGTCCGACAACTACGTCAGATTGCCGAGATCATGATTGCAGTGATTTGTACTTCAATATTGATTATTCAGAAGAAAGACTAGTTAACATCATCATCATCAGCAGCCTGACTACGTCCACTGCAGGACAAAGGCCGCTCCCATGTTCTGCGAGTCAACTTTGTCCAGTGCTTGCTGCTGCCAATTTATACCCGCAAACTTCTTAATCTCATCTGCCCACCTAACCTTCTGTCTCCCCTAACCCGCTTGCCTTCTCTGGGAAACCAGTTAGTTACCCTTAATGACCAACGGTTATCCTGTCTACGCGCTACATGCCCAGCCCATGTCCATTTCCTCTTCTTGATTTCAACTATGATATCCTTAAACTCTGTTTGTTTCCTAATCCACTCTGCTCTCATCTTGTCTCTTAAGGTTACACCTACCATTTTCCTTTCCATTGCTCGCTGCGTCGTCCTCGATTTAAGCTGAACCCTCTTTGTAAGTCTTCAGGTTTCTGCTCCGTAGCTAAGTACCGACAAGATGCAGCTGTTATATACCTTCCCCTTGAG